GCAGTGCCCATGCAGTGACTTTAAAACAGGGCCGCAGTGCATGTGCAGTGACTTTAAAACAGGGCCGCAGTGCACGTGCAGTGACTTGAAAAAGAACAAAGTGAGAGACTATTGCCATCAGCGTCAAGACAGATACTGACTCAAGTTTACATGTATGTGTTTGCAGAGAACAAGGACAAGCTTGTCTTGTCTAAACAGTGGTGGGACTAAAATGTCCATATGTAAAAAACTGAATTATATTCACACGATATACAAAAAACTTACACTACATGGTGACATTTAAATATAACAGCTCACTCTATAAAAACCTGTTCTTTGGGTCTGGATAAGGACTACTGGAAGCATCAGTAGAGATCAACATAGAAGCATGAATCACGAAAGAGAAAACTGATAAGCTGGACTTGATTGAAATTAGGATGTAGCATCACCTAGGACACAGCCTCGGGCTAGCAGAGTGGGAAGACACACACTAACTTCGGGCAGCACATTCCTGAACCATCCCACGGGTCAGGGCCCTGACTACACAAAGAGAAAGCTGGCTGAGCAGAGACAGTCATTGCTCTGCTTCCTGACTGCACAGGGCATGTGTTCTGAGCCTCAGGCTCCGGCTGCCATGTCTTTCCTGCCTGGTACCCCCAAACTGTAGGCCAAAATAAGCCCTTCTTTCCTTAGGGTGATTTGTCAGTTACCTATATTACAGCAAAGACAAAAGCAACTAATACAGACAGAATGAAAGATAAGCCAAAGACTCTGAGAACAGATTTGCAAACCACCTTGGAAAACGTACTTGGATCTAGAATATATGAAAGAACTCTTACAACCTAATAAATAAACCAACTGAAGATACACAAATGGCAAAATCGGCACACAAGAAGGCACTTACCAGCATCGTTCACCAGGGAAATACATTCTAAACCCAAATGATGTATCTACACACTTGTTAGACAACTGATAAGCTTTCACAGGGACTAAGACGCCCACGTCACAGTCCTCATGAAGCAGCTGGAGACTTGGCTCAGCAGTTTAGAGCTTGTGGAGAGGTTCTCAGCACCCATAGGGGTGGCTCTCAACTGCCTGCCACTCCAGCTCCAAGGGATTCAGTGACCTGCTCTGGCCTCCACTGGCCCTGCAGTCCCCTACAGTCTTTCTCTTACACATAAATAAAAATAAGAAAAGTAGACGTTTAAAAAAGAATCCTCAAGCAACCTTGCTACCTTTAGGTACCTATGTGCAGTGAAATTAAAGGCACAGATGTTAAACAAAAAGAGAGGGAGACCTCATTTACTTACCCCATAGCAAACTCATCTAAATTAGTTTTCCCCATGAGTAGAGCTCCCTGATCCAACAGCTTCTGAACGACTGTGGCATTGTAAGGCGGTATATAACCTGGAGAAACAGTATCTTTACTATATATTATATTATATGAGAGAAAACAATGAGGAGGAAGCATGATTTTAAACTTTAATTAATTACTATTGGAGTGTAAATTACTCTTAATTTAAATAGCAAGTTGTACTTCCTTCCAGTTAATTTTTCTCCTGCCAACTGCCCATTTTTTACAGTACATCATTCACTATTTTTATAATCAGAAAACATTGACTTAAAGAGTACTATAAAATGGTGGATGGTAAGATAGATCTAATTTATTTGACTCTAATTCCTTATCATTATGCTCAAAAGTTTTTTTCTGCTTCTTAGATAATGTTATGGCACGCAGTAATTTTTATTAATTTTGGCTAGAAACAGGTCTATGCACTCAGAAAGCAGAGGCAGGAGAGTCTCTGTGATTTCAGGGCCAGTCCAGATAACACAGCAAACTCGGCCAGCAGGGCTACATGGTGAGACTGTCCCAACACCACCACCCCACCACAGACTGGAAAAACCAAACCAACCCAAACCCGCTAGCCTAAGTTCCAAACTCCACTCCAGTCCACTTAATGAAAGAGGACTCATGGAATTTCACTTTTAGTGGGCAGCATTCGAGGACCTTTTCTTTCTCTCTTTTTTTTTTTTTCCTGTTAGGATCCAAATATTTTGGTAAACATTCTTGTTTCCAGCCTGATAGATTAAAGAATAAAACTAAGGATTACTACACAGTTCCGAGAGATGGTGAGTAGGAGCGGATGAATTCTCAGTGTCCATAGGAGTGATGCCAGCCAGAACCAAGTCCTCCGGAAAAGGCTCCGAAACTTCGTAAGCAGTATTCATTCATGGGGCTGGCCAACGCCTAAATTAATTCTGGATGTAACGAGCAAGCAGTGAAGGGGCAATAGTCTATCCTAAGTCTTCCCACAGGGCTGTAATAGTATTTTACTGTAAGCTGACAGCACTCACTTTATAAAAGCACCAATGCTGCAATCATCAGACTTTACCTTTTAGCACTCACTTTTACAAAAGCACCAATGCTGCAATCGTTAGACTTTACCTTTTAGCACTCACTCTTACAAAAGCACCAATGCTGCAATCGTTAGACTTTACCTTTTAGCACTCACTTTTACAAAAGCACCAATGCTGCAATCATCAGACTTTACCTTTTAGCATATTTGATGCGCATGATGTCTCAATGCCGGATGTGCTGAAGTTGTCTTTTACAGCCACAGGAATTCCGTCTAAATCTCCAAGGGACCGACCTACATTGAAAGGCCACAAGGGGTGGTGGTACAAAGATGGCTCGGTAGGGAAGAGTGCTTGTCCAACTAGGGGCCCTGGATTCAGATCCCAGCACCGACATCAAAAGCCGGGCATGGCCACCTGCCTTATTCTTTTGATGGAGGGGTAGTGGGGGATCCAGACAGGGTCTCTCTGTGTAACAGCCATGGCTGTCCTAGAACTTTCTTTGTAGACCAGGCCGGCCTCGAACTCAGAGATCTGCCTGCCTCTGCCTCCCGAGTGCTGGGATTAAAGGTGTGTGCACCACCACCACCCAGCATGTGATTTATTCTTCTGCCCGCCTGCAACCCAAGTGCTGTGAGGGCTAAAAACAAGATGGCCACTCCACCTAACACGTGCGTGCGCGCGCAGACACACACACACACACACACACACACACACACACACACACACACACACAGAGAGAGAGAGAGACAGAGACAGAGACAGAGAACTTCAGAATGAAACTTTAGAAATCAAGTTTACAGTGGAAATTAATACAGATAGGCACTGTATAATATTTACACCAAATACTCAGGACAAGTTCTTTAAACAAGGGATTGTTTTAAGTTTAAAGCTTTACTTACTGAAAGACACTGCTACACCCAACTAAATTGTTCCTCTTGAGAGAAAACAATGATATACAATTGAACATAATTTACATTTACCTTCTTTGTATCTTTTCTCCGACTCTTCAGCTTGCTTTAAGGCCACCTCTTCGGATACAGTAATGTAAGCATTGAGATACCTGGTTTTCTTGATGAGGGAGAGACATTTTTTGCAGAGCTCTGTGGGTGTAACCTGGCCCTGTTTCAGTGCTGCGGAAACCTACAGAAGAGACAGTTCAGAATTGTCTTTACAGGTTCTTGTATTGAGGGAGCCATAAGCAGTACAGTGTGGAAACAAAATGCAGAGGTGAGGCTTGGGCTCAAAACCCAGAGAACCTCTTCTTGGACAGTGCAGTAAGCAAGGGCGGCACTGATCAGCTACAAGATGCGAATGGTGGGGAGCAATCTTCCTCTTTGTTGACTAATTTTGTTTCTTAGTTAGGCTTGGGCAAACAACAGTCGTTAAGTGAGCCTTGCAGGCCTGGGGCAGCTGAGCCCAGCCTGGGTATAGATGGGGAGAGGATAGTAGGTTCAGGAAGCAGCTTACGGTAACCCAAGGGGTACACAGTGAACAAAGAGAAGCATTTTATGGCACTGAAAAAGACCTTTATATTTACTGGACATTTCAGATAAGACATACTAGTGTTCAGAAAAGTGCACAGACATATGATATACATAAACACATACATCTTACATAAACTCAGAATTTCTGTCTTTTTATGCATTAAGAAGGCTGGTGGGGCCGGGCGGTGGTGGCACATGCCTTTAATCCCAGCACTCGGGAGGCAGAGGCAGGAGGATCTCTGTGAGTTCGAGGCCAGCCTGGGCTACCAAGTGAGCTCCAGGAAAGGCGCAAAGCTACACAGAGAAACCCTGTCTCGAAAAACCAAA